GTTTACTGGTCCTTAGCTGGTTTGTAGCTCAGTGTTTACTGGTTGTTTGCTGCTTTGTAGGTCTGTGTCAGCCTTTTGTCGGTATGCTGTCCCCTGGTAACCAGGTCAGTGTGTTATTCTGACCGAGTGGCTGTGACAGTCTGAGCTGATTATCAGTGACCTGCAGCTCCTATTTCCTGTCAGTGAGCAGAGCCACCGATCTCCATCTGTCACTCTGTTTTTGTTACTTGTATTACATTTAAGCAACACTTCAAAAACCTTCACCATTACTCACCTGTCAGTGCACGCCACAGTGCCACAATTTGTAATTGTTGCACACAGGTGTGAATTTGTACACACCTGTGTGCTGCAGGTGTTTGTGGTGAGCAATGAGTTCGAGTTTTTTAAAGAATAACTGAAGCTGATGTTTTTTCGTGCTTTGTTTGCCAGAGCACTCACAGTCGTACTGTTTAACCACTGTTCATTAAAGCATGTGTGAGCCGTCACTGATCTCCACCTCTTCCTCCATCTCAGCGGTGGCTCGCAGCTGCCGACCTGCAGCAGGAAGTGTGCCGTCACCTGGCCATATACGTACCCAGAATCTTTTGCTTGGGGCTGAGCAGCAGTGACAGAGAGGAGCAGAGGGAGGAGCTCGCTTGTCAGCTCCTCCTCCTTGCTCCACTGGAGTGGCTCCTTCTGGGGGGGGAGCCAGCAGCTGGCCTGGCGCTGCTGCAGGAGAACAACCAACCATCAGCGCTTTGCGGGCACGTGTTTAAGGTGGGAGAGCCCACCTACTCCTGCAGGTAGGAGACGCACGTCCACAGGTGACACATGCAACACAGGTGACTCATTTTAAGTGATGATCTGTGTGTGTGCAGGGAATGTGCGGCCGACCCGACATGTGTCCTCTGCATGAAGTGTTTCTTGGGCAGCGTTCATAAAGAGCATCGATACAGGGTAAGCGCGCGCACACACACACACACACACACACACAGAGTTTGGTCATCATGGGTATATGGTGTCCTCTGTTATTCAGTGGACATCACAGTCTATGTGTTGGAAGACAGCGGTTAAGGTTTTTAAGAAGTTACTGATATTTACAAAGTTTTAAAAGGATAAAATGGTTAAAGAGGTTTAAAATAAAGGAGGAGGTCAGTTTAAGAGAACACGCCGAGTAGAGCAGGGCGATATGGCCAAAAATATTTATCACGATATATATTTGAAAATTTGCGATAACGATATAACTGACGATATAATTGATGCGAGACAAAATACAACTCCACAACATTAC